ATTGTACAGTGGCATTAAGTGCAGTGATGTGCACCTCTGCCTACCTCTTCGGGGATAAAAAGGCGTGATGTTATGTATGCGTAAAAAGTATTCTATCACCTAAGTCAGCCCATATCCTGCCTCTATACCAAAATCAGTTCAGTAGTTTCAGCGTGATTGACGGACAAACATCCACATAAAGAAACTTTCACACCTACCTCTATACTTCTATACTAATATTATAAAGAGGAAAGATTTGTACCTATATTTGTATGTTTGTAATGAATAGACTCAAAAAGTACTGGGCCGATTTAAAACATTCTTTCACCAATAGAATGCTACATTCTTCCAATTTGACATAGGCTACATTTCATTTTCAAAATAATTAGGGATCCTTGGTAAAATTTGAACAATGTAACCAAAGGTGTAGAAAAATGAGTCTAAAAATGTCTTTCGTCGAATGCGCTGCCGAAATTATTAGCGATAGAACAAAATAATGTACAACAATATTGAAGAATGTCCGCAGGCCTGTGCTCACGGTGGCCGGAGATCGTCCCGCGATCACCGACGCCCGGAGTGTCCTTAGCGACGGCTAGGTTGTGAGGAGACACCACTTTGCTGCCTCACGCAGCCCGCTTCCTCCATAGTTAGCTTGACAGCTTCGCAAAAGGAGGAGACAGAGTCTCAACCCTCTTCGCTCCGCATCATGACCCGGCCTCGGGCCGAACGCAAGAGGTCGCCATCGCCGATCACATCCCTGTGGGCAACGCGGTGCTTAGCCCACGCAGGGCTTGCACCTACCGTGTTTTCCACCGTATCCTCAGGGCGGCCCTCGCAGTAATAACATCTGGGTGTTTCCTACCTCCCTATCAGACATAAGCACCTCCTATGTCCGATGAGGACCTGCATCAGGCTGTAGGTGAGGACGCCGTAGCGTCTCTCCTCAAAGAGAGGACTTAGCGCTGCAATGGCAGCGAGCCCAGCCTTCTAGTAAGCATAGCTAGATGGATTGCTTAGAAAAAATATTAAAACGCAATTAGAAGGGCCGGGCAGAGATACGCATTTTGCAATATAACACCTACTTTTTATTGGTTATGATACGAGTCACATGTAATACGGGATGACTGAAATGATAGCAGGAAAAAGCGGAAATCTAATGTTTGACAATATAACATCCTTATTATTTCTTGAAGTGGGAACAAAATGAACGTATTATTCTTTTCGTTATAAATCTCATTGTTATAGGAGGCTAGTTACTATCCAAGATCGACCCTTCACCCAAAAGATAACAATAAGCTAATATAAAAATATTCGCTGCTCAGGTCAAAATCTATTTCTTTGTTACTATACAACCGTTCGTAAAACAACTCTGTACATATGACATTATTATCTACTAAAATCGTGTCTTTTAACATCTAAAAGACGTAAGTTCATATCTTAGAGATGTCAATATAAATGGTTCTGAAGACTAAGGCTGTTTTTATTTATTTATTTATCACAAAATCTACAGCTCTCAAACATTACACATAACATCTACAAACCATTCTTATAGCCAAACGGATTCACAATTTACTAACTTAACATACATAATTAGGTATTTCGCTACAGACCTGAACGTGTGAAGTGACTTATAGTTACAAAAAATCTTTACTACTTTATTATGAAAGATGGACATTCAACCAACATAAATGAAATGTATTTTCATTTATTGATGAAGTTCGATGTCTAGATCACGCGAATATAAATTTTATTTGTAAAGCATAGGGTGACTGACTCGATGGCCGAGTGGTAGCAAGGGTCTCCGGTTCGATTCCCTGGTCGGGCTCACCACCTATTACATGGGACTCATAACATAAATAGTGAAAAGTGAGTGTTACATAGTACAGTGGCATAATGTGCACCTCTGCCTTCGGGGATAAAATGCGTGATTTTATGATGATGATTATCTCAACAATATAATCACACTTCAAATGTTTTTATTTGCGTTATGAAACACTGTAACACTTGATTAACATATTAAACATAACATAACTCCTTCATTCCCCGAAGAGGTACACAGAGGTTTACAATTATAAGAAACACTGACATTTTGCTAGTTATATTAATATTTAAGTTTAATTAGGACTAATCTATGACTATATACCGCGCACAAATTTGTTAGTGCTGGGTAAAATTCGAATATAAGATCATCGAAACCCTCAAAATTCTAAATTCTTAAGTTAAATGTTGAAATATGAACGTTTAAATTTCCTCGTTGGTGAAGTGTTTGTAAGTGTCATTGCTGAGCCGAGATGTGGTGTCTCAACTAAATACTATTAGTTCTTGAGTAACAGTTTTCTACTGGCAGTCAAAGGCAAGGAGATATAAGGAGATGTTTGGTAGTATTTTTAGACATCGAGTTACATTATAGAAATTTTCACAAGGTTCCCTTTTTCTGTCTTATTATATCTAGCCTATAGTCATCATCGGTAATGTAGGATTCCAACGGTAAAAGAATTTTCAAATCGGTCCGGCATTTTCGGAGTCCATTCAATTCACACAAACAAACAAAAAATCAAATCTTTCCTCTTTATACTATTAGTGTAGGTTCTATCCATGATGAAAGAAGGTATTAGGTAAAAAGTAATGATGAAGGCTATTGTGGTTAATTAGTGAAACATTTTTCGCCGACATGGATACATAGACGCCGCGAGTATCTCCGAGACTTCCCGATCTCCGTACCCCGTTATCGAGACAAGGATAATAATAGATATCGGCCGTTCTTTGGGTTCTCCTTCACTCGCGTGGGTGCAAGGCCACACAGTATATTTGTATACTTATAGATGCATTTATCGTCGACAGACAAAGTAAAATGTCACATTTATTCAAAGGCATCTTTAATTACAGTTGCAGATTTCAAAGACATGTGTTTCAAATCGACAGTACTGACAGGACCGTTTATTACAAACATTATTGAATGGTTTTTAAATAAATGTGTTTACGCGCATTATTGAAGCACCATTACATACATAATTTTACGATATAATCCCTTCTACTCGCAAGCAAAACTGGCAAAAAGTAAGTCATTTTATTCACAAAATTAATATACAAAATAAATACTCGCGTGGTTTCCTTTTTTATATTTTATTATTCTACAACACGTTCATTAATTCGCAAAAGCCGAAATAAGTCGATAGTAAATACATTTATTTACTTTTAATATTTTGTGTAATTTTACATTAATTAGTATACGCCTTTTAGTAAATAAAAAGTACAGTCCCCATGAATTAAAACGAAGCTTTAGTAAGACGCTAAAAGTTCTTATTCAATTACCTAACATACGCCGAAACAAAGAATACGATTACAGGGAAATTATAAAAATAACCGCACAGTGTTAGTAAAGTAATTGTGTTAGTATAAATATAAACAAATACGCAGATTTAATGTAATTAAATGAACTATAATAACTTTAAAGACTGATTTGAGAGCTTCAACAAGAAATTAATTTACTTTAAACAATATTCTTGTGTTTTTAAGATTAAACAAACCAAATAAGCTAATAAATAAAATACTGAGATAACTTTACCTGCGTGAAGTTCCCGGCTAAAATTTCAGCGAGGACTTGGTAAAAGACATCCCTCGAAGGTGAGTTGTCGAATGGAGATGCAAATAGAGAGGTGCTCGGTTCCCCTTCAAGATGGGGTCTGATGAGGTCCATGCATATAATAAAATAAATAATCATACGCCCGAGCCTCATTTTGAAACAGAAAATTAAAAATTTCGCGCCTAAACTCAACCTAAGTATGTACTTTATAATTAAAACACTGATCTGATCTGACTGATCGACTTATAATAAACTCGGTCAGAAATGAACACTGTTAACTCGAAACTATTCCGGAATCAGCGGGAGCGAATGCGGATGTAAAACTGTGCTCTCCACTCCAAGTCCGTGCACAAACTGCAGTTGATATTAAGGGTGAAATACAACTACATATTACGTTCTACAACTGAGCGGCCGGCACAACCAACATCGGATTAACAGGTATATTACGGATGAGTTTACATGATTCTGAAGACTGCATTATTCAAAATTAAAATGTACTTACATGCACTTGAGGCTTCTTGCGTTTTTTGCTGTTATTACTCATTGTTCACGAGTAAAAAAATGTCAAATTATTAAATCCACTTGTTTCTGTATTTGTTTTCACTTAACATTGATAAATAACACTTGACTACTTAAACTTTGATCAACATATTTTACGCTTAAAAATTATGTAATAAACTTAAAAATGTTTAAAATGCTCCGGAAAAATGAGTTAGCGTACAGTAATAACGTTAAAAAATGTTTATTATTTAATAGTTTGTCGAAAATGTCGACGATGCGTGTCTCGGCGTGCGGTGTGAACGATAATACTGTTAATTATTATCGAACCGATTATCAAGTATTGATAATAATATAATAATGTGTTATACTTACGTATCGAAAACCGTGATAACAATATTTTCTAGTACTGTTGCTAAATTATTTCACCAACATTAATGATTGATATTTTACAGATTTACCTTGTACCACAGAATCTTGTGATAAAATTCCCGCCTATGTAAGTTGTACATTTTTATCTTTAGAAAGTCGATGTTTCCTTTAAGTAACGAAATAATACTTATGTCTTATATTTATAAGTACTATATTTCTGTGCATGTGCGTATTTGTTTATTCGTGATAATTATGTTAGCATGGTTAAAAGTTATTTTTTTAGTTGATATGTGGATATTAAACGATTCCATAATGCTATTTTAGTTCATTATAGTGATAAATTCTAAATATATTTCTATTGAACTGTTAATATTGACGGATGGAAATTATTTTCTTCTACTTTTTTGTACCGTAAATGACTACTACTAGTTTTAAAGTTTAATCTTAGCTGATATTTTATTAAATTGTTTTGTTAATTAGTACCTACTTGGCATCTAACTACGTTTATTTTTTATGTGTATTTCCTATCCTCTGTTAAACTTTAATATATAGTATAATCACAAGTTATTTATTTTCTTTACACACAGTATATCATGCCACGCTGTAACATTTAAGTACTATACCTAATTATAGATACATTTTTATTATAGATCATTAACATTATAATTTTATTTAGGTTTAAATTTTTTCATTGTAATGTATCATAGTTAAAAATTCTTCAAGATTAACCATAAACAAAAAGAACCTAAAAAAGAACGGGCTTGGATTCTCGAAATGTCATAAATTTGATGGTTAAAAGAAGGTGGCTTTGGGATTAAACATAAACAAAAATAGAACGACTTGTATTCTCGAAATGTCATTTGATGGTCTCGAAAAGGCGGTCGAAACGGCGGGAAAGCGAATAGAATTTTGGTCCATTTTAAATAATATTGAACTGTTTCAAACCAGAAGGATTTTTGTAATAAACAAATACCTAGCATCTAGCAAGATAATTTTTAAAGAAAATATTTTAATAATTTGAACCTTGTGTATGATACAGCTATTAAAAAAAAATAAACTAAAAAAATATTGCCACGAAATAATATTTGTTTTAAAAATTACATCACGTAATTGTCATACGTTTTTGCACCAGTATTTTTTCATTCAAATTATTGAAATTAAATCTAAAAGATAAAAACGTAATTACAATTATTAAAAAATGTTTTTTTTATTTATGACCATGTTTTTTATTAAGTATTTATTTTGTATAACACTGGTGCAAAGCATTTTTAAAATTAGAACGCAAATTAAAAATATATACTATAAGATTAAAACTCGAATAATTATTTTATCAATTTTATGCATATTTCACAAAATTGGATAGAAATTTGATATTACGTAGGTATCTTCTTATCGAATATTTGCGTTAATGTTGTTTAAAAGTGTGGGTATCGCTTTGTTCTAAAATTCTGTGTTTGTTTTATTTTTTACCTATTATTGTTATCTATTGAGTTTGTTGGTGGTTTCAAGTATTAATTGTAGGTAAACATATCTATTTGATTTGTTGTACCTACATAATATTATATTATTACTATTCTTTTTATTTTGCTTTCATAACATAAATATTTATTCATACATTTATAATAATTAGGTACTATATATACCTTCTTTCGTTTGTCTGTATATATTTTGAAAAATGGAAAAAGAGTTATTATCTTAATTAGTTAGAGAGTAAATCCTCGATGGAGATTCATAAATCTAACTATTGTGCCAATAGTGCGAGATGACGCGTGCCTTTTCCGTGCACTTGGTTATTTGGTGTATGGTAGACAAAAACGTTAAATGTATACTTATTCGTCTAGAAATTGTACGTCATGTGTGCTAAAATCACCTGGCTACTCTATGCACTCATTCTAGAGCATGCCACATATAATGGTCGTGGAAGAAACAGGTTTCTCTCAAGTCGACACCCGCTATTTTTAGAGATTGACTCTGAGCTTTGTTTATAGTAATAGTGAAGCAGGTTTTGATTGGAAATTAAATACTATTGAATTCGAAAGGGCAGCTTGATGGTGTTAGGGGAATTCAAGGTATAAATACAAAACTCTCCCCGAGAACAACCTGTAATTATAGTTGCTTCGATTACATTATAATGCAATGTTTTCACTTGCAATCGTATATTTTTGTATTACCTAGCAGCATAATGGGTACTCCATTTCTCAGTTTTATTATAGTTAATTTAAAATATTCAATGATCTGATTCTTATATTTTTATTTACAATTACATATTTAAAAATGTATCAAACAAGTATGGAAACTAAATAAAAATGATAATCTGGACAACAGTTAAATAGTGCTTGTCTTTGATGATACTTATTATGAGTATCTGCCAAAAGACAATCAGACAAATTCAAAATGTTTCCTTAAAATCGAATGTAGATATTTTAAGTTACAAGTCAGATTGTTTTATTCATTTAAATAAAGGAAAAATATTTTCAAATTACATACATACAATATATTAAATAATTTAGTAAATTCATAGTAAATGTTACCTAAAATTTAGTAAATAACCCTTTTTACCTTTGTTAAGCAATGCGTTTCAGTTAATACGTGAATAAAGTCGCGGGCAGATCCTAGTAGTGCTACAAATATGATTTATGAGTCGTCGTCTTAAACCTGAGAAATAATAATTGTGTTATCTGTAAAGCATAATTGCGTTTTCAGCTTGGAAACGTAAAAACCGCTTGCGAAAATCTCTCGTTTATTTATAAAGGAAGTCCTATACTTTGTTACGAAATTTATATTTTATGAACTTCGTATAATTTTACAAGACATGGTTTTTGCTATAATATTTCGTTTGGTCATGTCTGCTGCATGTCAGACGAGCAGTGGGCGAAACTTACTACTGAGTGGAGCCCGCTCAACGTCAATACACGTCGCGGCAGGCGCAATAGGAGATGTCGGAACGGACTGGACATCTATGACAAGGATTGGTCGCAAAAAGCTTTACATGGAGAGGCGTGGAAGGACAGTAAGGTGGGCTTTGCCCTGCAGTGGGATGATCGTAGCTGAAAATAAAATTAAAAAAAAATTGGTTTGGTTTATGTTTTATCTATACTAATATTGTAAAGCTGGAGTTTGTTTTTTAAACCCGCTAATCTCAGAACCTCCTGCTCCGAGTTGAATAATTATTTTTTATTGAATAGGCCATTTATCGAGGATGGCTCTAGCCTACATAAAATCACGCTGCGACTAATAAGAGCGAAGAAATAATGGAATATGTAGAAAAAAAGGGTAAAATTATTCATCTTTGTCCGTTGCGTGCGTTGCGAAAACGGTCCAAGATACCAAAAAAATATGTATGAAAAGACTATTCCTTTTGCCATTATCCAAAGGAATAGTCTTTTCATACATATTTTCTAAAAAAATGTCCGCGACAGTATATAAGTCTATCTTTTGTGCAATACATTACATTTTAAGAATCTTCAGTAATATTTATGTATATAAATAATAAGCAACGGTTTTGTAAATTACGGTCGTAGTTATAGGAGGAATGCACATGATAATAGTATTACGTGTATTATATGTACTTGAGTACATACATACATACAGACATATCATACAAATGTCAATATGGTATATGTACATATAAAGGCCGTCACAGACCTAGCTATAATATAATATAATATATGTAGGTACATTGTAACAAGACGTATTATTAGGTACCTAATTTCAATACAAATTTTGATTGACCACACAGACAGCTATAATATAATTATATTTCTGTAAAGTCACCAAAACACATCCATAAATTATATTTTGATCTTAGGATATTTAAATCAATACGATCGCAGACCGAAAATATATGTTATAGTAAAGTTTTCGTCTTTTTCATAGGATAAACCGGTAAAAGAGCTGACGGATCACCTGTTGGTAATCGAGTCTTTGGTAGCTAGCTATAGAATAATGTGTAGCTCGATATATTATAGCTAGGCCTGTGACAGCCTTTATGCAACTTAATATAATGACTTCCTATACATGCCTCTGGCTCTTTGGAAACAAAGCTTATGACAATGTAACACATTATATACACTTCGAGGGAATAAACAGCTTAAGTTGAGCATGTAAATCTACTAATTAATATTGGTCATCGGCTTAATTATTCTGTACTATGAATGAACCAGTGACCTATTGTATACATGACTTGATATAGTTAGGACGATAACAGGGTATTAAAATTAAAAATCATTTATCCGTCACTCAATTAAGTAAAATTATTAGACATTTATTCCTTTTGTCGTATAAGAAAACAATACTTAATTAAAACGAATCAAAGTTTAGGCGTCGGAGGTAATTACGTTATTTCTTCTAAGCATAAACCACGATTATTCAGGTATAATTTATTTATTTTTGCATTTAAATTATAATTCAGTTTTGATGACTAAATTAAAAATGACATCTTTCTCATTTAAAATAAAAGTTCGGGCAGCAGCGTATTCAAAATGTTTGGTCCAACTGGCAACTGCGACTTCAAAGCCGCCTGTTAAGAAATTAGAAATTAGAAATAATTCATTTGCCAAACATGTAGGTAACAAATATGTTGTTTTATAACTTATGGAGAATCCCAGTACATTTTGCCTTACGGCATGCAAAATTATTGAATTAGTTAAATAACATTATGAAATACAATTTTTAAATTTAAACAAAACATAATTAATTAATAACA